CACACACACACACACACACACACACACACACACACACACACACACACTAAGAGTGATAATGAGACACAGGGGAGGGCAAAGAAAACAGAGGGACTGGACAGACGAAGCAAATAAATTAAACAAGCTTTGGAAAAAAGAGCCACCATTAAACAGCCCACCTGTGAGGACAGAAAATATCTGTCCAACGTGTGTCCAACGTCTGGCAGACTCCTATCAAATGTGTGTCCATTGTGTGCCCAACCTGTGTCCAAAGCCTGTCAGACGTCTGTCTAGCGTGTCCATAGTGTGCCCAACGCGCATCCAACATGTGGCCATTGCGTGTTCATCGTGTGTCTAACACCTGTCAAGGCATCTGTCTAATGTGCGTCCGACGCCTGTCAGATGCCTGTCAAACATGCGTCTGTGTGTCCAACGCCTATCAGACATCTGTCCAACAGGTGTCCAATGTCTGTCAGATGCCTGTCCAATGTGTGTCTAATGCCTGTGCGACGTCTGTCCAACACCTGTCAAGACATCTGTCCAGTGTGTGTCCAACATCTGTCAGATGTCTGTCCAGCATGTGTCAAATGCATGTCAGACACTTGTCAAACATGTGTCCGTGTGTCCAACGCCTGCCACATGTTTGTCCAACACCTGTTAGACATGTGACATAGATTAGACAGATGTCTGTCCAACATCTGGGTGGACTTTGAAACAGACCGTCTTTGCAGCAGACTGTTGACATAAAGTGGACTCTACACAAGTGTCTGTCCTATATATTTAAATATATATATATATATATATATTTACCTATGTTAGTTTGGATCATTTTCAGATCATTCTCTGGTTCTTGGATTAAATCTTATTTTTAACTCGATGCTTGTGAAGTTTGTGAAATTCCTGCTGTTGGCAAAAGAAAAGCTCAGTTTCTCGGGTTTTAAATGTCCAATAAACGTTAACTGATAATTGATCAGACAATTTTCTTTTCAGTTGACTATACTCAATATTTACATTTTATTAAAAACAAATCAAAATCAAACTGGAAGTTTTCAGTGACGTCGGTTCAAACACTCCAGTTTGATTTTTCAATAAATGATCACATCTGATAATTCTCATGTGACTTTATCACCTGCAGCCAGGAGGGCATGTCTGTTTCTTCTGAGAGTTAGTTTAAATTTTAAAATATTTTACTTCTTTTTACACATTTAAAAATGTTAAAGCGTTTGGTATAACAAGTCTGATTATCTCTGAGCTGACACAGAAACCCACTTGTCTGATATTTAAAGTCTTTAAATAAAAAGTGACAAGTAATCAAAACATCAGCTGACTGATGACGTCCTCACCCGTTTCTGGTCCCTTCACTTGCGTTTCCGTGGCAACGGAGGCGCCACATCCCATCATGAGCAGCAGGGAGGTCACATTCTTCACTGCTCCTCAAACAGCTGAGCTCTGCGTCCAGGGTTGGACTGTTGCATGCTGGGAGAAATGACCCAACCTCCTGCAGCTCCGGACCGGAAAGCACCCGCGAAGGTGAAAATTAGACTCCGCCTCCTTTTCCATCAGCGCTTCATGTGAGAAACGAAGTAGAGGGAAAGAGATCGTGAGGGTTCAATCAGCTGACTGCAGTTTACCTGGCTGCCACTAGAGGGCGCCACAGAGAAGGTTTCCAGCATCGTTGCCAAACAAATTATTTTTTTAATAAACCAGTACAAAAGTTCTCTTTATGCACAGATTCGTCCTCAGGATTTGACGAAAAGCTGCACAAGGTTTGATTTTATTTTCCCCACATCGAGACAGAAAACGTTTGACCTGAACTTCAAACGACTCAAAGGTTCATTTTAAATCAGCTTAGTGTTTCAGCTTCTTCACATAAAAAATGCCAAGAATGTTTCAAGGCAACGGAATCCCTCGTATACCAAAACAAACACATGTTGCTAAAATTAATTAAGAAAAAAAGGAAACGGATTTTTTTTTTTTTTTTAAGTAAAAAAAAGTTAAAGTTTACTTTTATTAATAAAACAATAAAAAAAAGTCCTGGTGGAGTCCAACAGGTCACGCTGCAGCTTTCCCACAAACACTTTTCTGCACAGCGTCCACAGCAGCGTGGATCTCCTGCAGGGTGATGACCTTCAGCCTGTTGGCCTTCGACAGCCGGGCTGCCTCCAAGACCACCAGCCTGAGGAGAACTGGTCTGGGACAACCAGGCCACTGGTTAGACAGGAAGTCAGGACTCTTCATCCTGCCCAGATGGACCTGCTGGTGGACAGAGAAGAATGGAGTAAAACCTAGAACTGAGCTGTAACTCCATCCTGTGATGTCTGACCTCCTTCTGAGCTCTGAACATGGTGGCGGCATGACGTCGAAGCCTCCTCTTGGCGTGTGGAGGAATCCTGGGCGCTGCTGCAGCCGGAGCCTTCATCACGTCAAGGCGATACAAGAATAAAAACACCTCGACCTCCTCCTGCTGCAGCGTGTGGGAGCAGAGAAAAGGAGGCTTTAATGAAGGCAAATTGAAAACAGCTTTGCTTAATTAGGCCTAATTACCTTCACCCACCTGGCTCTAAAGGCCTCGGTGGAGGCTCAGGAGAGGAAAATCCAGCTGGAATAAAAGCAGCAGCAGGACGATAATTTACTCAGGATTTATTGGGTTTCCGTGTTTTGTTTCTTTAGGAAAGACGGCGCATCGTCGGCCACACTTAATTCATATCGACTGTTGTTTAATGTTTAATTGATCAACACTTTTGTGTAGAATAAAGAAAATCTGAGAAAATCTACAAAGATTTTAAACAGGTTTTAGTAGAAGGAGTTTTTCTTCTTCTTCCCTCTCCTACCAGACATGGGAGGAAATGGAAAAGAGGTTTTTCTAGTTTTCCTTCAGACTTTTACAGGAAGTAGTTTAAACCACAACAGGAAGTCCAACAACGTTAAGTCAGGTCTGGACGGTTTCATTTTTGTTGAAACGTTTCGTCTTTCATCCAAAAGACTTCATCAGTCACAGGAGCCACAACAAACACAGTCTTATAATAAGCAGCTTCACATCAACCAGTTTGATGGTGATCAGGTTCCTGGAGTCCGCCCTCTCCCCGAGGGTGAGACGGAATGATTAGACTTATTTACTAATTTAAAAAGTATTTTGAATTGAACTGAATCAGGCAGGGGGAGGGGATCAGAGGGAGTTGGGACAAATGGACCTCCAGAACTTCTCAGTCCTGCAGCTCACTGGAGAACCTCCTGCTGATCCAGGGTTCTGCCTGTTCTTGTGTTCTTACAGCTTCAAGTGTTTTCAGTGTGCTGCCCCACAAACACCCGGTCCAGAACCCTATCCTGCTCACGTCTGATCTCTGACCCGACCTTTGTGACCCTGCACTGGTTCTGATGATGGTGGCGGGTGAACAGCTGGAGGAGGGGCTTTGTCAGATCAGGCAGGCATTAGGTGAGGCCATTAACGTCCCGTGGATTACCCTAATCCAGCCCATCTCCTCTCCGCTGCTCACTCTCCTGTTGGTTCCTGTCGGGTCTGGACCGGGCCTGAAGATGGGTCTCCTCATTCAGCGTTTCCTGTTGGTTCTGCTGGTTCTGGGAGCTGACGGTACGGTTTCAGTCCTGTAGTCAGAACCCAAAGCTTAGATTTTAATCTGTGAAGTCAGAAATCTTTGGTTTCTTTAAAAGCTTTTCATAAAAACGACAGATTTCATTGTTTTCATCAATAATTTAATTCTTCAAATGTGTGTAAATTTATAATGTAGTTAATGTGACGGAACATGGAGCGAGTTTTATTATTAAAATTAGTAACAATCTGTTTCTCCCCCCTTCCCCTCCCTCCCCCTCCCTGGACCATCTGGCCTCACAGTGATCATCAGCCTTCGAGCTCAAGAGGTACAAAGAATATACTTTATACTTTATATTATAGAATATACTTTATACTTTATAATAGAGAATATACTTTATACTTTATATTATAGAATATACTTTATACTTTATATTATATAATATACTTTATACTTTACATTATAGAATATACTTTATACTTTATATTATAGAATATACTTTATTCTTTACATTATAGAATATACTTTATATTGTAGAATATACTTTATACTTTATATTATAGAATATACTTTATACTTTATATTATAGAATATACTTTATTCTTTACATTATAGAATATACTTTATACTTTATATTATAGAATATACTTTATTCTTTACATTATAGAATATACTTTATATTATAGAATATACTTTATACTTTATATTATAGAATATACTTTATACTTTATATTATAGAATATACTTTATACTTTATAATACAGAATATACTTTATACTTTATATTATAGAATATACTTTATATTATAGAATATACTTTATATTGTAGAATATACTTTATAATTTATATTATAGAATATACTTTATACTTTATATTATAGAATATACTTTATACTATAGAATATACTTTGTACTTTATATTATAGAATATACTTTATATTATAGAATATACTTTATACTTTACATTATAGAATATACTTTATATTGTAGAATATACTTTGTACTTTATAATACAGAATATATTTATATTATAGAATATACTTTATACTTTATATTATAGAATATACTT